TCCTTTTTTTTTTTTTTTTTTTTTTTTTGAAATGTGAACTATCCGTAACCTACTCTGACCTACTTAACAGAATCCATGTACGGAGACTACGAATCGAAAGGTTAAAAAATGCGCTAAAATCGGACGATTTCTTCGAAGTAAACGAATCACGAGAAGAATAGAGGCGTACGGCTTGAAAGCGTCCGGCAGTAGTTCAGTCGGTAATTTGGCCGACCAATTTAACGATCCAATCTTTCGTCGCCCTAACGAAACGTTACGGTTCGCACGATTCGTTTTCGTTCCGTTTCGCTTTACGCTAGTCTAGTCTGTTCCTTTCCGCGATAACAACACCAAAGCGACGAAAACGTCAAACTAATTACCGATATACTCGACTAAATTTTGCTTGCTACTAGAATCGAAGTATTACGCGGCTGTCGTAGTTAAGGTTGAACGAACCTCGCTTCGTCCGACGAATTTCCATCTCGGTTAATCTTATTAATCGTTAATCTTAAAAGAGAAAGAAGCAGCAGCCTGCCCCTGCTTGGATCCATCTTAAAAATTCTTTCCTCGAATTTCTATAAAACTGAATTACCAACGCGCTCGATGAAACCACCAGTTGCGTTTGAAGCGGACCCAGGAGAGTCAGGACTAACGACGTTTAATAGGAGATCGAATCAGATCGGACCATCGACATCGACATCGACGTCCAATTTCGTACACCGTGAGACGAGTTTCGTTTCACGGACTTGATTCTAGAGTTGGCAGAGAATAGGCGAGTTATTCGACCGTGTGGTTTGGCCTGTTTTAGATGCTTCGCTTTCTTCGTATCTGCACATGGGTAGACACAAAGGATACACGTATGTGTGTACTTACGTATACAGCGAGTTGCTATTTCGGGTAACTGACAAGCGTTTCGTGGGGTTGATGACGGCGCGGACGTGGTTTGATGCCGAGAGTGATGAGAATGGTTGTTCTTGGACGAGTGAAACGATTGCTGCGAAGGTGGCCGTCGGCCTCCGACCACTGGTCCCAGATTAATGCCGCCAGCGCCGTTGTTGCTGCTGCCGGCACTCTGAAAACCGACCAACAACATTACCAACGATGAAAGCGATTTCACTAACGCGACGTTTGTAGCTTTAAAACGTAGCGAAAAGTAAAATTAGAGCTGCGCCGGCGTGTACGCGTGAATTAGAAGCGACAACACGGTGGGGTGAAAGCCGATTCGATTAAGCGACGCGACACCGCTACGACGAGAGACAACCTGCTGGCAATAAAGGTCCACGGGAAGCCAATAATTTTTCAGCCACGATATCAGTTTCTTGAAACGTTATCCTACTTATTATCGGGATGGTTAGATGGGCTACCGTATCGTTTCCCATGCTGGTCACGAACGCGTTACTTAACCACGATCCTCCAATAAGCGATACGCGTGTCTCATCTATCGTAATCACCTTAAATGCTGTTTTGTCTGTCGAACGGTACGACGAGAAAAACTTATCCTTGCTTCGGATTAAACGATAGATATTACGACTAATGAGGTATTTGCGTCAAAGGTACGGTCGACGTACGGTTGTTGGCAAACTCTCGATCGAAACGCGAATTTATTTATCTCGGAGCTATATCCGAAGCAAAATCGTTTTGCCATGGTTTCGGTTAAATTTCGGTTAAATTTCGGTTAAATTTCGGTTGATCTCGAGCGAATAGTCATCGGCCGAGAATTCGATTCCATTTTATGGTGTATTTTATGCTGATATTTTTTAGGGTGTACGCACGATTCGGGATTAAATTCGTCTTCTATTTCGAGTCCGCTTCGAGCGAAAATACGGCAGCAACTTTGCGCGAATAAAGAAGAAAAAGTAGGAAATAAAGCGAGCAGAATTACTTTTGCAATTGTCGCGCACATAGATTCGGACATTGGCCGCTGATACGCTACGGACAAAAGTGGATAAAAGTGGCATGGTTTCCGAGCGCGAGTAACGATTTGCAACTTGAACGGGCATATCGATATCGCGCGAACGAGCCGAACGATGGGAGGAGAATGTAGGTTAACCAACGGCTCGTCCAAGTTATTTACACCCGATCACGATGAATCGCGAGAATGGACTTGATCGCCTCGTCGACTAGGAGACGAAGGAGAATGCGAGGGAAATTTGTGTTTCCCTATCGTAGAAAAGAAAAGAATTCGCGTCGCGTGACTTTCGACGCGACCGTTTTCGTTCAAACGCGTCCATCTTTATTCGCTTTCTATCGTAGCATTTTCACCGAGAACGATCGAACATAGAAGTCACAGTCTCTCGTATCTTTGTACAACGTTTTAGATTATTCGACGTAAATCGCAGCTGTGGAATCGGCAAACGTTTTGTCCGAGAAAACGACGATCGTCGTCAAGTTACGACACGATTCGCCGCTTACGCGTCTAGCGTATAAGTCTGTAAGCAGAGTTTGCGTATCGATCGGAGGAACGAGCATCGCGTTCGATCTTTGCGAATCGTTCGGAAAATTGCGTCGTTCGATTAAACGGCATCCTATCTTTAACCGTCTAAAACGAATATTCGCAAAAGTACGAAACGGGAGCTTGATTCGAACGAAGAATTTCAATTAGGGTAGAAAATAAAGATGCAAACGCGAGGAATGAAGCGTCGAAGAGAGTTTCTCGCGACAGAGCCCCGCTTCTTGTAACAGCTTTTCTTCCCCTTTACGCTTTATAACGTTATCGTAACGAGAAGAATCCCGAAACTCAAAATCAAAGAACCGTCTCTTTATTTGCATCGTTTTCTTTTCGCAAATTTGCATCGTATTTATTAATCGTCGAACGGTTTTTCGTTCGGTCATTTGGTCGTGTATCGCGGTATGATCGATTCTTTGGGAGGAAAGAACGGAAAAGAGTTGGTTTCTTCGATCGGTTAATCCAGAACACATTCGTGAACGATAGAACGAATAATTTAGTGCCGCGAAACGTACGAGTCTCGCAAAATTCGTCCAACGTGATCAAACACCTTCTCCTCTTCTTTTTTTTTTTTTTTTTCTTATCGGGTCACGGTCTATCGAAAGAGGCGCCTCGTTAAAAAAAAGCGATATCGTTGGTAGAGTCGACGGAAAAGCGCACGCAAAGTGTGAAATCAGCCAGCTTTATGCAGATTTCATGGTAATATCGACTGCGAGAGTGTGTGGGTATCGAGTATACGTGATTCGATCATCGTCCCACTTGGACTAGAGCGGCGCGTGGCGTTGATAAAGTGAGCCGGTATATCATCGGGTGACCCTGGAAACGCAGAATATTTGAATAATTTATGATAAGAGAATAAGGAGGTGCAAGCGTGACACTATGTCGAACGGAATATAGCAGGGGGCCGTAAATTATAATTGCCGTAGTGACGCCGCTAATGAATACCGTAGATTTCAGTGCTATACCGCCGGCACCTCGTACGCTTTTCCCCATGCCGAGCGTATTTCGTTGGAAGCGAATTAAAATTTATCGCCTGGTCGATAACGGATACCCATCCGTTAAAGGAAAGAGGATTATAAAACGCGAAGGCAATCGAAGCAACCTGAAAGCTTTACGGATATTTTTTCTTTGGAACGAAATTAATTAGGCGAGCGAATGCGCGATACTCGTTCTTTTACGAATCGATTCGAACATCGTGAAAGAGACGGGCAGATTTGGTTCGTAAACCTTTGAACGAACGATTTTCGGTCGACAAACGGAAGCTCGAAGAGGAAAACAGATCTAGCAGAAAAGCGTATTCTTCGAGTTTTCGTAATAGCACCGATACGACACGCGCGAATACAACCTGCTGTTTCTTGCGCTTGGCAACGAACCACGCTCTAGAAAAGCGCTCTTCTTCTTTTCATTTTCAACGAGTTCCGCCTCGATGGTTCGAATTAGCTTTGCGGGAAACGAAATTGCACGGAACACGATATCCACGATGTAGATGCACACGGTCGTCGCGACCTGACGCGACATCACGCGACGTCACGCTCCTGTCGTCCAATCGATTCCATTTGTCGTCTCGTTACGATAACGTTATATTCGCAAGCTAAACCGTCGCGTAATACGTCTCAACGATCGATGCTCCTGCCAGTTTCTCGATTTCCATTTAACAAAGCGTCGACCGAGATCGTTGTTAGCGTTGTTTCCTGACAGCCGTTGCTCTCATTCTCCCAAGTTTCTATCGTTCGATAGATTTTGGTCGGTTGGTCGATCGACAAACTCGTCGTTAGCCATTCGTTAAGCAGTCCACGTTTCCGACGCACTGACACGCTGTAATTTCATTTAAACGCCATAGTCCGATGTAACCTAAATACGGTTAAATGCGATTTAATCGCCGACAGAGTTGACACGAAACGTACGCGTACGCGTACGCATACGCATACGCATAAACATACACATACACATACGTAGTACGTTCGGATCGTCGAGTTAACTTTGCTTCAGGATCGATAAAACGGTGTTGCGATTGTAAGTACTCGTGCAACGTACGAGCGGTCGTCGTCTCGATCTTAATACATCGTGCGTCACGCGTCCTAAACCATTCGTTTCGTTGCTTTCGTTTTGATTATTCCGTTAACCGATATAGCAAAACGCTCCGTACGATTCTTTAATCCTACGTTACGTTCGCGTAATACGAAATATATTACGTGCTTTAACGTAACGATAAAGTCAATAGTCAGATAGTCGATGCGATTAACGCGAAATTACCGATTCCGTGAGTTTCGAATTTAACGCGTTTCATTTGTAGCGAATATTTCTCGCACGTACATATGCACACGCACACGCATACGCACACGCATACACCTGTAATACTTTGAATATCGAAGAAAGAAAGCTTTGATATTCGACGCAACGTTTCGTTGGGGGAAGCCTGCGTTTCAGAAAACGAATCAAATTAAAAGAAACCGTGTTTAAGAACGCGATTAATTACCAGTTTTTGAAAAGGCAATTTCGTTTCGTCGTCGACGGCTTTTTCATTTCTGTGTGTAATAACACGAGTCACGTGGCTACGCCCCGTTTATTTATCGAGAAGCACTCGATAATTTTCTGCCAATGACAGATTTATCGCGACATTGGCAGAGGTAGGATGGGAAGAGGCTATCGCGTTCGAACGAATATCAGTGCGCGTTGCGGCGAAGAATAAAATCGTTTAGCGATTCGTTCGGCACCGTTCCCGCCCCCATGCATCCACCTACCATTGATTCGTCGTACCGTCGAAGACAAGCGAACTATTATAAAAGACAAATCGACGAATGAAAGTGTACCGTCGTGCCGAGCAATCGCCGTTTACGCTCGAATATCGAATCAGAGAATATCCATAGAGATGGGAGCGATTCGCTGTCGTTAAATTCGCATCTTCGAACGATCGTGGCAGCGTGGTTCGTTGTACGGAAGGACGTTTCGATCCGGTTACGGAGCAAAACGACGCAGATCGACGTATCGTAGCCGAGCGATCGAAAACTCCGCAAAGATGAATGGCGACGGTTACGCAAGCCGAAGATATTTATACGTTGATCGAAAATAGCTGATTCGCGGTTACCGACCACCGGAAGACGAGTCCAGAGGGGGAAAAAATCAACGAGAACTCGAGAAGCAATTATGCCATTCTGTTTCGTATCGGTGATCGATCGTCGTTGCGTTTGGTCCGGCGCCGATGATTCCGTGTCGCAAACGGGAATAAAATTTCGCATGCGAGAACAACGGTCTTTCGTGACACCTTAATTTACTTGCGGTGATATCGTACATATATTTAAACCACCTAGAAACAGTTATGCCTTCGTGTGATCGTTTCCCTTCGTTCCTTTCATTACGACCTAATTAGTTGGAAAACCCGCCACTCTTCGAAGAACGCTACGCCTCTCATTTTTCCATTCTATTACCTTTCGAAAAGTTCTTCTTTCGAAAGTTTGATTTTCCATTTGTCTGCCCTTCTAAATCCTCGATCTTTTTCTCCGATACACGCACAGACACGCATACACACACACACATACGAGGTTTTTGCGTACGTTGGCTATATCGAAAATTACAGTTGGCTCGAAAAGTCCGTAGCGTTTCTGGCTCGAACGATATCAAGTTGCGCCGTGTCTAGTTAACCATATCGAAGAGAATTATTTTTTTTTATGAATTTCCGAGAAAATACGAAACGCTGAATTCACCGCTCCTAGTCGATGCTTCGGCGAAATAAAACGTTGGAAATTTCAACGAGATAATTGTGTATCGACGACAAGGACGAGCAAACAGAGTACGTCTGGCAGAGCTCAGGTGGAATATGCAACTACCGTACGCTGGATAAATCGTCTAAATCGACGTTTCGTTTTATATACGCGTGAAAGATAAAAAGATTTGATTTATACCGGGTCTCTACTTACGTCAAAGTAGATAGATTAGCCAAAGAGACGCGAATCAACGTGGAATTGTCGTAAAATGCTCGTCTAGCCAGCCCAGTTACCATCCTTTCATCGCAAATACGTCTTTTTACTTGCTCTCCGTCGCGTCCCTGAATCTAATTGCAAGCTACGCGTTGGTTTGTCAGCCGCCTTTGCTGCTATGCGCGTTACCAGGTCCAGAACGGACCGCCGTCTTTTTTCTCTCTTTTGTTCTTCCTCTTTTCCGTATCCGTATTTCCGTGTCCTTCTTTCCGTTCCATTGCGATAACAAAGTATCGTTGGACGTTGAATCAAGTTCACGCTACTCTCTCAGCTTGCTATCACACTCTGTTGCCGGATTACGTCCACGCAAGATTCCTTGTTATTATTCGCTCGTCGCTCCGCGATGGCACGTTATACATTTGTAACGGCTAAAGATAGATAAAATTTCGCTTACACACGATGCGTGACACGAATATATATATATATATATATATATGTATTTTTTATGAGTACGTTTATAGTTACATTTTAAGACTACGGTCAATTGCACGCAATATCTCGCGTATCGAATCGTAAATCGCACAGCGTCAAATAATCGTATCGCGTAAAACTTTGCGAAACCAGCGGCGATGAATCTGCCTGTTACGTCGTTAGCCCGTTTATTGGCTAGACGCGTCCGCGAACGGACGAAAACGGAGGAAAAACGGACAAAGATGGATCGAATTCGGGATACGTAGCATCGCGAACGTACGTTACCCCGATGCCAACCTAAGCTACCTAATGCTTGCCAACGCTTTTAAACTCTTACGAGGTTATTCGTATGTGTTCTACGCGATCCATTCGATTTAGCAGACGCAGCTATAAATTGGAAGATTCGAATCGAACGAACGTTAGAAACGCCGTTCTGTCGCGAACGTTTTTACAAGCCACAGTCGGATCGGATCGGTCGAACGGATCGACTATTTTCGGAATTCGTGATACGTTCGTTCGCGCGTATGTACACGTGTTCACTCACGCGTGTAAAATCTAAATTACCGAAAACGCGGCAGACTATCTCGAAGTTTACATAACGTTGAAGTAGCGTCCTTTAGAGACGCGGCAATTCGGAACAACGTTTTGCGCGTAGCGGCGCGACGATTCGTCGAAAGTTCATAGACTCGAACCAATCTAATTTTTCTGGCTATACGCTATTGCGAAACTCGACGTTTGCGTTGGTTTGCTCGTTGCAAAGTTATAACGAGTTTCTCTGTTTTTAGTCGTTGTTGGCCGTGTTGTCAGATCGAATCGATATAATTTAACGCAATTCGATCTATGTTTTCCGTGGACGGATAAATTGGCACGGATAAATGGCTCGAACGAAGAACGCGTCAAATACATATTTTTGAACGAAAGAAACAGCGAAGGTAATAAATACGCGAATCGTGTACCGTTTGACTGCCCGTTAACGATAATAAAAAGTCGCGTTAACGTCTAGGATCAGATGTCGTATCGGAGGATACGAGTTAATCTCGTTCTCCTTTCTAATTTCAGCCTATAGTATAGTATAGTATAATATATTTTAGTATAGTATAGTATAGTATAGTATAGTATAGTATAGTATAGTATAGTTTAGTATAGTTTAGTATATAGTATAGATGTCTGCCGATTGTAAGCGAAAGGTAGGAGAAGTAAAAGGTTCGAAAGGATCGAGCAAATTTAAGAGGAAGATATATGCGTATTCGTTAGGTTCTGAGCGATTGAAAACACATTTGCGTTGAGAAGGAGAAAATCGATTTGAGACAGCCGGTCCAAGTTGGCACCTATCGTGGCTACCGTGTAATATATTACTCCCTCTGTATACGCACGATCCTCTGGTCCGATTGGGATTTTATGTATCTAAATAAATGTCTTCGGTCGGAACACTTAATCCACGGGAAACGTTTAGGTTAGCGAACCACATTATTCGAACATCATCGTGCCGGATTAGAAAAAATAACTCGAACGTTTGAGCTTCTTTCGAAAAACAAGTGGAGCCCGAGGGAAACGCTTCTAAGCGTGCATTTCACCGCCGATGTTTGTCTTGCACGCAAGAAAAACAAAAATACAGTCCAGTTACGAGACCGAAGCCAAGCGCGAAGACGGCGTGCATTGAAAATAGCGACGTCCATTAACCGTCGAATCTTCGAACGAGACGATGAGAGGGCGTCGCCTTTTTTCCCCGTTCGATTCGTCGCTGGTCGCTGGAAATACACGCGCGCGTGTCAAACGTTTTTCTCGAAAGGGAAAGTTAGCCAAGAAGCTGTGGCGCTTTCGCGAGCGAAAAACTGATTCGCGATTCCGATATACGTACGTACCGTTTCAAACGTAAACTTGATATTTTCCGTACTCGCGTGATTCTTTGTTCGGGCGAACAGCTTTTGTAAAAAAGAACCGCGTCGAGAATGGTAACGATGCCAACGTGCGTGCCGACGCACAGACTCGAAGAGTAGGTCGATGATAGGTTCGGAACGTTTAGGACGACGTTTCGAGTATATTTCGATCGTTACAGTCTGCAGATTGGTCGGAGTATCGTCGTTTCTCGCGATAGAACCGGTTCCCTTTGACTTTCCTATTACGAATAATATAAAACAGGCTTGGATCGAGTCGAAATCGAACGATATTAAGAATAACTTTGTACGATCGACGCGCGGTCCGATGAAAAGCCAAGTTCGTAGGATGAAAGTGAAACGATGTACGTTCTTACGATCTTACGATCGGGTAAACGATCGTAACGAGATGGAAAAGGATGAAACGTCGCGAGTTATAACGCGCGAGTTATAACTTAAATACTCGACTTTGAAAGCGAATTATTTTTACGAAAGAAGACGGAAGCGTGGGATAAATTGTAGCCGATGTACGCGGCGGCGCCGGTCGCGTAGTTACCGTTCGTACGTGTGACCGATAATTATCGATGTTTAACGTTTAGCATCGATTTCGTATTAACGTTCGAGTTTGCCCGGATCGAACGACCTTACGGTTACTAGAGTCGAACTAGAGAACGACCCTACGCGTACGTACGACGTACGATGGAAACCTAATTTACTAAGTTTATCTCGTAATCGCGATACGTAACGGTCTAATCTCTCGATAACCGTCTCGTCTCGTCGGACGATCAGTTTCGATCGAACGATTTTCACTCACCGGAATCTGATTCAGATTGATGTCCGACTGTTCTCTGCTCGGGTAGTCCGTGGACGTGGTCGAAGACTGCTTGAATCGTCTGCTGAACCTCAACAAGTTCCTCATGATCATAGTGTTCATGACGATGATGAGTACGAGCGGCGCGATTAGACTGGCGATGCTGTCGATTATGCTGATTATCTTCATCGTCTCCAAGTATTCGACCTTCAGATCGCAATAATCCTCACCGTCCCTGTTGATCACTCCGGCCGTGACGAAGGAGTAGGAATGACTGGCCAAAGCCAAGATCACCAACACCAGCACGATGGTCTTTGCCCTGGCTATAGTGCATATATGAGGTCTGTGCAGAGGGTACTGAACAGCTATGAATCTCTCCACCGTGAACGCAACGATTAACCAGACGCTCAAAGAGCTGCAGACGGCGCTCACATAGACCAACGTTTCGCACCAACCCTCTTTATTGAACACCTTCCATCCTAGCGTGTTGTTCAACCAAACTAAAAGCAAAGTGACTAAGAAGCCAAAGTCGGCGGTGGCCAGGGCGGCCAGGTAATAGCTGGAGCTTCGTATTCTCAGATGTGTGTTTAGAAAGACGACGCAGGACAACAGATTGCCTACCAAGCCTAGCAAAATGATGGAGGGAATGTAGTACTGATGAAAGAAATCCAGTAGAAAGTATAGAGCGTGACAAGCTTCTATCGGTTTCTCCTCGAAATCTAGGCTCGAATCGAAGCTTCTGTTTCTGTAACCGTAATGCGTCAAATTGACCCACGTGGTTGGGGTGGCGGCGGACCGTCGGGAACGTGCAGATACGTCTACGCTCGAGGAGTCCTGAACGCCGCATCTCGTACGTGGATTGTACGTGGACGCGACGGACAACATCTTTCCTTCTCTTTACCTATATCTCTTTCCTCTCTTATTTTCCATAAAACGCGCCGATCTGCCTCGAAAGATTCTCTACGAAAGATTCGAAGCGGCCTCGATTTCCATTTTCTATTTTCACTCGCGATCTTCGCTCGAGTTTTCGCAACACCGATCGCAAGATCCGACGATCCCGTCTCTCCGTTATCGGTTCGTCGTTTAAAAATTTCGCTCGCCGACCGACTCGAAATTTTTATCGGTCCGACGATATTCCAACAACGATCGCGACTAACCAATTTTCCTGATTATTTCCAATCAACGAATTATCCAGCTTGCCGAGAGATTCAACGTAAGTTCGGAATACTATCCGGAGCGCTATGTCCGCGCGAGATTACCTTGGTTACTCTTTTAGTTAGCATTCTTGCGCGTTTTTCTGCCAGTATCGTGTCACGATCTTGCACGACGATAAGGTAAATCTAACGAGAAAAGTTTATTAAATTCACGGAGACGATTCGCGTGATAACGGAAGCTGGGGCAGGACGAACGATCGGATCGAAAACGTTCGACTTTCGACGACAACGGATCGTCCAATTTCGAACATAAGAAGGAATATAAGGTGTTTCTTAAACTTGTTGGTTCGAGTTCTTCTCGGATATCGATCGACGGTTTTCAGTAACGTTTAATATCTCCTGAAATTCCTCGAATTCTTCGTCCATTCTCTCGACGGTCGTCCGTTTGTTTGTTCGTGAAAGTAGGAAATATTATAAATATCTGTCCACTCGTGCGGAGGTAAATTCGGTTGAGAACGTTCGATTCAGAACTGGCGAACGAGTGACAAGTGTTTCCAACTAGCTGTTGAAAAAAAATATTCCTCTCGTTTCGTTCGTAGATTTAAATCCCACACAATGTCAATAAACACGGAATGTTTCTAACTGGTGGCGTACGTGTGGCACGGATCGATTTACTTTGATATTCTTAGATCTCTGAAATCTTTCGATTATTCCACCAAACTGACGTATCCGCGATTGTATCGCCGGATACCGCGACTGGTCTCTCGATCCTTCCAATCGACACGGACAACGTTTTAGCGAGTAATTGGTCGACCGACGACTAGTCGGCCTTCGATATGCATCGCGTTCGCAAATTCGGAATTCGCCGATGGGAAATAACCGCCTCAGAATTTCACCAACGGATCTTCGTCTCGATATCGCGGAATGTTTAAAAAAGTGGCCGCGAGGTAATCTCTGGTAATTTGGATCTAGATGGTAGAAGAAAGATCGGTGGTCTGGTCCGAAAGGTTCTTCGAGGCCTGTGGCGTTTCAGCGTGTTCGCCTTTCGGAGTCTGTCGACGAGCGACCAAGTAGTCACGAAAATAGTTCGTTCCAAGATATCCTACGCCCTCCGTATATCACGCTGCGTATTTTTTCGAGCGGCCTACGAAACCTTATCTCCACCTCTATCTAATTACCATAAAATAGAGCGTCACTTTCGTTTCCGTGCGCTACAGAGCACGGAAGACGATGGTCGGTGCGATCGGAATACGCGTGTCGCTCGATGAATTCCAGCGAGTCCGGGTGGTCGTTCGGATGGTCGTTCGGATGGTCGTTCGGATGGTCGTCGTTCGACGATCGAGTCGGTTTCCGTGGAATGGTAAGATAAGCGCGATCGCGCCGCTGGATGCGCCAATACCTGAAAGTGGAATGCAACTGAAGGAGACGAGTATCGATCGGATAGCCTGCCCGAAAACTATCTTCGTATCCGACGAAATCTCTCGAGAGTCAACGGCGACAGCTTTCTCTGTTCGAGCGATTCGCGAGCTTGCGCGAACACTGGCCGAGCAACGCCAGTTCCTTTCTTTCAGCGTTTCGTCTTTTTTCTGCTTACGTTCTTTTCTATTTTACGCGTTGCGCTTTTTACTCCGAACGGACTCGTTCGGCCCGCTTTCCAACCTTTATCGCTGGCAGACTTGAAATTCCTTTCTTCCGGGCCAAGTTGTTTCCGCGTTATTCCTGTCTCGTGGGTCAACTTTTCCGTTTCGATGCTTGTTTCTCTTCTTTCCCGAGCCAGCGGCGTTCCAGTTCTTCTCGTTGAGAGAGAGAGAGAGAGAATCGTGCAGGAAGCTAACCGATTACAGCTTCGCGTAAATTCCACTTCGCGATATTATCCGTCGTCCGGGATATTCGCACACGGTTGCGAATCGAAAATTTCATCGGAATACACATAACCCGCCTACTTTTCTTCTTTTCTTCCTTTTTTTTTTCTTTTCGTGAAAGTAGTTTCGAAATTGCAGATTTTTTCCCCCTATTCTCCGAGAGTTTTCTACGGCGTTTCATCGAACGTTGAACGCGTCGTAATCATCTTAGTTCGTACGAGTTTCGACAACGTTCCAGCAAGCGTATCGATAGAAATTCGAAGAGAAAAAAAAAGGCGGTTTTGCTTCATTTCCGTGCACACGGAGGATCTAACGCGTCGTTCGATTCACCAAGGCTAGGATAGCGTCTGATCCTGGATCCTGTCATTTTCATAGGATCCCGCGATATTTTAATTATTCGACTCGGTGGTCGATCTCGACGCGGTGTATGACGCGGCCGTTCGTACGTTCAACGACTCGTTCGGATCCGTCGCAGGTCGGTCTCGATTTCATCGATGTCGATCGCGCGCAAAGCCGATCACGCTACTTTTACCTACCATGTATCGTCTTTTACCATTGCATCGACGAGTACGAGCAAACGTTCGGCTGTTTGATAATAATATTTTTCATTCGCTAGCTTGTTTCGTTGTGTACTTGATCGAAACCGTCGCTGTTTAAATCTATCGCCGATAGAAGCGGAATTTGATTTTAAATTACACGTAGATTTTCGATCGAACGTACAAATTCTGTATATCGTTATATTATACGTATGACGAGAAGACTGAGATCTTTCGTTTGCCTCGAAATCACTGAAATACGGTTTTGTTCTTTTCTTTCTATTTTTTTTTTTCTTTTTGTCTTAGAACGTGGTTAAATTAATGGCAATTATATGGTTCAACGAAGTAATCTAGGTTTTTCATGTGGCGCGATATATTTCGAGGAGAAACGGTCGACGAGAGCGGCGGTATCGGAGCGTCGTGCAACGAGAAACGACGTCGGATAAACTGGAAACACGATTCACGGTTTCGACGAGTTTGCCGCCTATCGAATTCCTTCGCATGCGCTTCGCAAGCTCTCTCGGGGGGCCGTTGGACGACGCGACGACGCAACGACGCAACGACGCGACGCCGTGCCAGCGGCATCCGAAGCCACGACGCGCGACATCCGTTCGTTCGCGCGATTCACGCGTTCTCCGACCTTGGCTTGCCTTCTATCGGTCGCGGATACGGTTCGTATCGTGCCGCCGTATGTCATTGAAAACCTAAAACGTAAACTAACGATACGTAGAATGAGAAAATCGTGGTCCGAATTTTACAGGATTCCAGGCTTTCCAAGCAAATTGTCGCAGGTGCGATCACTTTCAATCTCGATACCGACGTAAATGCGTACGTCTTATGGCGGATCGAGCAACTCGTACGAAACGAAAATTACGTCTCGCCGAGCGATAGGCGACATCTGGCAAAGTAGTATACACGTATCATAACGGACCAACTTGCAGTGAAACGAGTCGACGCGCAACCAAGCAACCACGCTCTCTCTCTCTCTCTCTCTCTCTCTCTCTCGATTCGAAAGTTTTTCCATTGCAATATTCGAAATTCGATAAAGCGGATCATCGCGCGCTTCCTCGTTTCGCATCGAATGGACCGTGTAAGGTCGTTACACACACGGAACGTCATTTCGCTGGAAATTACCGGCAAAGATACTTTAACGTCCGAAGAAGAACCTTATTTGATCCTATGCATCTCTGACGAGGCATTTTGCGCAATTTTCCCGTATTTGCCTGTATCAAGGTCTGACTCGTTGCGAACTTAATTAACCCGGATCGTGCAGCTTGCGAAATGCTACGCTGTTTTCAATTGGACGGAGCCACCTATAAGAATCCTTATACAACGTGCGTATCTTCGCGTACTCGTACGTACTTTATATTTATTTGTTTCAAACTATATTATTATTGCTATCATCGATTATTTGGATTATTTTCTGTTCCGTTTCTTCGTCGCTACGTATAAAAGAGCTGAAATAATATTTTTTCTGGATCTGATCGTTTAAGCACTTGATTCTCTGCGTATATAGGTATACTTATCGATATGACAGATAGGAGATACAATATCCTGGAAGTGGAGAAAGAAGCGTATCTTGGTTCGTTTCGTTACGCCTTGTTGCAGTCGCTTGCGTCCGATTAAACGAAATATCTTCCTTCCTCGACCAGCCTGCTTTCTGCTCCGAATAACGCGAGAAAGTGACGCGAGAAAGTAACGCGATATGACGAAACGACGAAATTGATCGATAGATTTTCTTTTAACGCTTCGACGCTAACGTGCTTTTCGCGTTTGTCGCAGTGCTACGAGGTTCTGAAGGAAGCGTGCACGAAACTGAAGGGACAGCTACAGCCAAGCGGCAAACCATTCGCGACTGTGATCACGCATGTGTTGAATCCAAAATCAATTACGATGGGTCAGCTGTACGGCGAATACGATCTCAACACGCGTGAATGGTGAGTGAATGACGAGCGAAACCGGGATAACGGTTCGAACAAAGTTTCCCGTCTCTTTGAGAGCTGTATCGCGCGTACATGCGTGCGAAAGAAATATCGCTCTTAGCAAGGCGGAATATCGAACAAGAGTTTGCGAACATCGGTAGCTGTGTAATCGGAAAGATGCCGGGCATCCGGAATTTAAACGCGGTACGCCTATATCCTCTATAGATATTATTAGCCTTTTCGTATTATCGATTATTTCGACGCTGTGTTATACCAAGCGTTTGCTTATACGACAAACTTTACTTTTACTTAAATATAGACGAACCTTTTTACAGTCGGTCGTGTTTTTCGAATGCCAATGCGAAAGCTATTTCTCGTCGTGCGACTGATCGTGCAACTAGTTTAGGGGCA